TTGTGCCCTGACAGCTCTGCCTGGGGCTCCTTTGGTCCCAGCCAGGGGCCACTGCAGGCCCGTGGGAGCTCTGCCCCTGCTCCTGAGGGGAGGGCAGAGATGAGGGCCCTGCAGGGATCCCGTGGCCGAGTTGCACTCACTGCCCCTGCGGCTGAGGGAGAGTCTGCAGCTGTGTCAGGGAGCTCTTCTAGCCAGCCAGGCACCTCTGCAGGGGCCAGGACAGAGACCTGCCCGTGTGTGCCCTGTCCCCGTGGGATCCCCTCAGCCCTCCTGCCCGTCAGAGCTGCCCATGAAGATCCTCAGAGATGACAGAAGCTTCTCTGGCTGTTCAGTTACAGAGGTGTCTGCTGGAAGGACTTTTCCAACTCCTGAACTGATTCCTCTGCACATGCCCAGCTCACATGGCAGGGGTGAGTAGTCTGTCCCTGCTGAGCTCACAGGCTGAGCTCCGGTTTTCTCTGATCTGTTCATGTCAAATGGATTCCCCTTCAGGTCCTCCAACAGCCAAGAACCAAAGTCCAGGAGAGAAAAAATCATTTAAGTCAAATGAAGTTGTGAAAGAAATTTTGAAGGAACTTCAGAAAGGGCACGGTGGGTGTGTTTCCCTCAGGTTGAGCCGTGAGACTCATCAGTGGGGGCTTTCGATGCTCTGTGGACACGCAGGGGCTGCACAGCGGGAAGGGATCCATCGCAGCCTCGCTGCCCCGCTGCTGCTTTCACACCTTACGGGGCTGTTTCCCCGCCTGGCCTGGCTGCAGCTTCTCCCCGGCCTCTGCAGGAAGGCCTTGAGCATCCCCTGACCCTGTGCCCAAAATGCCCCACGGGCCCTGCAGAGCAGGAGATCCCCTGCAATTGCCTGGTCTCATGGCAGCTCCGGTGTGGCGGCTGTTTGGGGGAGGGAGTGCCCTGACCCAGTGTGGAATCATCTTCCATTTTCATTGTTCATGTCTTTTATAAGTGTTGCTGCCTGAAGATGCCACTTCCCTTATGGAGAACAGCTCCATCTGATCCAGCTGTCCCTCTTGTTTCCCCCAGGGATGGACCAAGGGGCTCTGTGGAAGGCAGCATTCCCCAAAGGAAGCAGTGGCTCCGTGCCAGGCTCTGCTGATGGAAGGGAGGCGATGCCAGGCACGGGCACACGGGGTAATTGCTGTGGCATGCTCAGCCGGTGTGGGCCATCGGGGTGGCTGTGGCAGCAGCTCTTCCCCAGTGCCCGCTCGTGCCCGTCACAGCACGAAGACCAGAACAGAACAGATCAATTATCCTGAGCAGACTCAGGGGACTCGGGTACTGGGCCGTCCTGCTGAGGGCCCTCAGTGAGGGACACTGCCCAAAACATTGAAACAGCTGCAAGGGGTGCCCAACTGGGGAAAAGGCAGATGGGGAGAGCAAGGCTCCAGTGCCTCCTTAAAGGCATGACTGTTCCTTCAGGTTGGGGGCAATGGTTGGGGGGAGGGAGGATTAGTTGTGGCACTGCCTGATGCAGTCTTCCCCAGGGCTTTAGTGAGGCTTTGTGGCACAGAGCCCCAAGGGGCCCTTGGCTGCTCCAGCTGCTCCTCCAGGGATGTTGCACAGGGATGGGAAGCGTGTGGAGAGCAGCCAGGAGCCAGCCCAGAGCTGCCAGGCCCCTCTGCAGCTCTGGCCATGTCCATTGACATCTGGCCCCCACAGTGCTCCCCAACCCCCCTGCAGTGCCACAGTTCTCTGAGGCAGAAGGGCATTCCCAGCACGCAATGGAAATGGTTTCCATCTCTGTTTGCTTCTAGATAAAGGTGCTGGGAATGCTTTTCCATTAGATTGGATTCGTGAAGTTTTGGAGCCCTTGGAGTCTCCTGCAGGTAAATTCTCAATTCCCCTCAAAGAATAATAGTTCTATATTTTGTGGCAAGAGGCAGGTGACAGAATCTTTCTTGAATGTTGAAGTTCCAGATGTGTCTTCAGGGAGGACTTTTCTGTCTCCTATACTGGTTCCTACACAAGAGAACAACTCATATGGCAAGGGTGAGTAGTCTGTCCCTCCAGACCTCACAGGCTCAGCTCTGGTTTTCTCTAATCCATTCATGTCAAATGGAACTACTTCTCATTCAGGTCCCCCAACAGCCAAGAACAAAGTTAAAGATGGAGAGAAATCCCTGGAGCCATCAGAGGCCATGAGAGAATCGCTGAAGGAAATGCTGCAGGGAGGGCCAGGTGGGTGTGTTTCCCTCAGGCTGAGCCGTGAGACTCATCAGTGGGGGCTTTCGATGCTCTGTGGACACGCAGGGGCTGCACAGCGGGAAGGGATCCATCACAGCCTCGCTGCCCCGCTGCTGCTTTCACACCTTGCGGGGCTGTTTCCCTGCCTGGCCTGGCTGCAGCTTCTCCCCGACCTCTGCAGGAAGGCCTTGAGCATCCCCTGACCCTGTGCCCAAAATGCCCCACGGGCCCTGCAGAGCAGGAGATCCCCTGCAATTGCCTGGTCTCCCGGCAGCTCCGGAGTGGCGGCTGTTTGGGGGAGGGAGTGCCCTGACCCGGCCCCAAAAACCCGGCTGTTTTCATGGATTTTTTCCATGTCTTTTCTAAGCATTGCCTCCTGAAAATCCCACCTCCCTTATGGAGAACAGCTCCATCTGATCCAGCTGTCCCTCTTTTTTCCCCCAGAGATGTACCAAGAGGCTGTTGAGGTGTCAATGTCCTCCGAAGGAAGCAGTGGCTCCGTGCCAGGCTCTGCTGACGGAAGGGAGGCGATGCCAGGCACGGGCACACGGGGTAATTGCTGTGGCGTGCTCAGCCGGTGTGGGCCATCAGGGTGGCTGTGGCAGCAGCTCTTCCCCAGTGCCCGCTCGTGCCCGTCACGGCAGCAGCCAAAGCTGAAAGCGCGATGGGTTGGTGGCATCTGGAGCACGTTCCGCAGCCCTTGGAAACGGGACTCTGGCCCCAAGGTCCCTCCCGCTGCAGCTGCTCCCCTTGTTGCAGAAAGCAAGGCTCCAGTGTCTCATAACTGGATGTGGCTCTGTCCCCTGGGGCTCTGCAAACTTTCTCGCAGGGAGAGAAGCTTTGTTATGGCCCTGCCTGCTGCAGTTTTCCCCCAGGGCTTTAGCCAGGGGTTCATTGGTGTGGAGAGAGCCCCGAGGAGCCCTTGGCTGCTCCAGCCGCTCCTCCAGGGATGTTGTACAGGGATGGGAGGAGTGTGGAGCGCGGCTAGGAGCCAGTCCAGAGCTGCCCAGGCCCCTCTGCAGCTCTGGCCATGTCCATTGACATCTGGCCCCCACAGTGCTCCCTGACCCCCCTGCAGTGCCAGGGTTCTCTGAGGCACAAGGGGATTCCAGCGTACAATGGAAATGGTTCCCATCTCTGTTTGCTTCTAGATGAGGGTGCTGGGAATGCTTCTCCGTTGGATTGGCTGCGTGAAGTTTTGGAGCCCGTCAGGCCCCCTGCAGGTGAGTTGTCCCTCAAAGATTAATCAGTCTAAATTCTAAACCCCATACATGTGGCAAGAGCCAGATGACAGAAGCTTCTCTGGTTGAATTACAGGGGTGTCTTCAGGGCAGACTTTTCCAGCTCCTCTGCTGGTTCCACACAAGCCCAGCTCACATGGCAAGGGTGAGTTGTCTGTCCCTGCTGAGCTCCCAGGCTGAGCTCTGGTTTTCTCTAATCCATTCATGTCAAATGAAACCGTTTCCCTTTCAGGCCCTCCAAGAGGCAAGAGCCAACCTTCAGGTGAAAAGAAAGCCCAGGAGTCATCTGAAGGCATGAGACAAATACTAAATCAGCTGGGCCTTGGTCAGGGTGAGTCCCTTTCCCTCAGGCTGAGCCGTGAGACTCATCAGTGGGGCTTTAGATGCTCTGTGGACACGCAGGGGCTGCACAGCGGGAAGGGATCCATCGCAGCCTCGCTGCACTGGGGCTCATGTGTCTCCTGAGAGGGTCTGACTCTGTCCTTTCTGGCTGTGGGAGCTGTCCCACGGCAGGGGGGATCGGTGCTGGCACTGCCTCCAGGCACCCGCACTGAGGGAAACAGAGAACGTCCTGGCTGTCTCCAACGTGCTGTCAGCTTAGCAGGGGTGCCCAGGACGGGCTGACGCTCCCAATTGCTCCCACAGAGGCAGCTGGTGCCACAACACGTGCTCCCAAAATCCAGGAGAGCACTGGCAGAGGTTTCTGTCGGGGAACACGCTGTCTGACCGTGATAATGGCAAGCATGTTGGGCGGGCTGCTTGTCATTATGTTGTGCTGTGCTGCAGTCTGGTACTGGAGGGTGAGAAAACGGTGAGTTGTTTGTTGCTGTCCCCCTCAAACAGCTTCCTTTGAAGGCAGCTCAGAGCCATGGAACATTCCCAGTCTGGCTGCTGGGGAGTGGCCAGTTAGTCCTTGGCCAGAGAACTCTGCTGAGGGTTGTGCTGCTGGGCAGGGCTGTCACTGCCTCTCCCTGTGTGCCACCCGCAGCTGGGCCTCAGACACCTCCTCTCTCCACAGGCCCCTCTCTGCACCTGCTCCAGACCAGCCAGACACCTCAGGCAGGAAGAGCTGGACCTCTCATCTCTGCACATCCTGCCCATACCCGGCTGCACTGACACAGCTGAAGAACCGGCTTCTCAACCTCCAACGGTCACCCAAACAAGCCCCTCCACCCCAGAGCCCCGTGACCCCACCCTCCAGCCCGGTCTGAAGTTGGTCCTGCCCTGCTGGGGTAGGGATATGCACACCCTTCATATACAAATAAATAGAGATCAACCCTCACTTGAGTCTCTGTGTGGTCCCACCAGCAAAGCCCCAAGGCCCCAGCCCTGGCTGAGCTCCGTGCCCGGGCACAGCCGTGGATGCCCACGGTGTGGGCAGGCAGGATCCAGGCTGGGGCTCCTGTGACCAGCAGCGGGGCCCCGAGGGGCTGGGGGAGCCTTTGGGCTGAGGGCACCTTTAGTGCAGTGGCACCTTCTGGACCTCCTCAAATAGGTTTCCCAGGAAAAGAGGGAAGTCATCAAGAGCATCTGTAGGTACGTTGTAATATCAGCAGGCAAAACAAGGGGTCTCCTTGTCACCTCTGGGTGCTGAGCCCCTGTTCAGATGCTCTCTGATTGAGGCTTTGACTGCCTGGGGAGTAACTCAGCTGTGATCACCAACTGCTTGAAGGGTGCATTGAGAGGGCAGCCAGGGTAACACCCTGGGTCTGACAAATTTGCAGGAAACATTTGCCAGGGTTTTCAGGAATGGCCTGCCTTGGAAAAACAGGGCATGGGACTGGGCTGCACTCCATCCAGAAGCCCTTCATGGAAGCATTCACTGGAGAACAGCCCTAGAGAGCACCAACAATCCAGGGGCAACCACACACCTAATTTCCCAGGTCAAAATACTCGGTATTGCTGGGCTGGGATTCTGCATAAGGCAGGAGGGAACTTGGAGTCCCACCAAGGGTGGGCCTAGGGGCTGGGGGCCCTCACGAGGCACCCAGAGATATTTTGGGGTCTCTTCTGAGGAGTGCAGGTGGCTGAGATCCCCTGTAAGACTTACAATCATAGAATCATAGAATAACTGGGTTAGAAGAGACCTCCGAAATCATCAAGTCCCTTGATCCAACCCCACTGTGATTACCAGATCATGGCACTCAGTGCCACATCCAGCCTCGTCTTAAACACCTCCAGGGATGGTGAATACACCACCTCTCTGGGCAGGCCATTCCAATGCCTGATCACATTCTCTGTAAAGAACTTCTTTCTAATATCCAACCTAAACCTCCCCTGACAGAGCTTAAGCCCTCTTGTCCTGCTGATTGCCTGGGAGAAGAGATCGACACCCACCTGGCTACAACCTCCTCTCAGGTAGTTGTTGAGAGTGATGAGGTCACCCCTGAGCCTCCTCT